AAAAAAAAAACCCGGTGGGGGGGGGGGGGGGGGGAGCAGGTAGGGGGAGATAGAAGTTAACTTTTTTTTTTCTATTTTTTTTTTCTTTTTTTTTAAATCATTATATAGTATAGCTGATTATCGTGGCCCTTTACCAATTCCTCCCTTTCCTCCCTCCCTCTTCCCAGACTGAATTTTATTAACATATATTTCTTTCTTTTTCCCCAAATTTCCTTTTAAAGGAAGAGGATAAGAAGAGTAAGAAAACTGGACACACGTTAAAACACTACTGATTAAATACGTTCTTGTCTCTTAAGTTTCCATATTCTTTGCAGCAATGATCCTCAAATGACATCTTGGAAGTGCATTATGGTCTTTAAAAGAATAAAAATTGGAAATCTCAAGATGTGAAACTTATAAACTTTGTTTTCCTGAAATAATGTTGTGCAACTGACTTAGATATTTGTCAACATTTCATTTCCCAATAGAATCCCAGAATTCCTTTACATATTGCTCTCAGGGGCCACTCAAGTTATGACTTTTATGATTTTGGATGAGATCACTTTGCAATGACCCCATTCACTCTACTATCCTCAAAATCTCCTTGCAGAAATACACGTATATATTAATAATTAAATATAATGAGGGGGCACTGGATGAGATATTGCGTTAAAGGAAGAAAAAGGAATGTCAGAACACTGGGTTTAAAATTTGAAAAAGAAGTTCAGGCACCTCTGAAATTATAATGCAAATATAAAAATAAAATGGAAAACTGAGTAATTTCTAAACATATGATTTTTAGACAATTTTTCCCAGACAGTAAAAAAGTTCTGTTTCAACCAAAAAAAAGCCCTTTGCTAATTGAGAACTATACAGTGAAGGCAATGATAGTAAAAAACAAGGGGCAGAGAAACAAAAATGGTGACTAGGCAAAGACTGTGTGGGAAAAAAACGGGCTGTGACCATCAACTGGCCGAGTGGTGCTCAGCAACTCTGGTCTCCAAGGATCCTGCAGAACCATTACTAATATACAAGGAAAACAAATATTCATATATAGCGGTCTTTAAAAAGTTCATGGAAAGATTAGCATTATCTTTTAATTCCATTTTTCCACAAATCTTTTTCAAGTACCCTCATATGAGTAATTTGATAATTTTATTTTACCAGAGACTAAGTGGGTTATCTTGCTAACAATCTTGATTTAAAACAAACAGTTCCTCTTGAACTTTCTACTCTTACCCCCTACTATTTCATATACATTCTATCCTAAAGTTTAAATCTTATTTGGTCCACTAGGATCTTTCCTCTCTAAGCAGAATTTTTTTGCCCATCTTTAATAAAGCCATCCTATTCCTTGATGGAATTCATTTATTCTTTTTGTCTGCCAGTGTCCTAACTATAATTACTCTTCCAACATTATCCTCCATTATATCCCAGCTCATCTTTGTCCTGTCCTGATTCACAGTGCTTGATTGCATTTTGGGGGGTTTTGGGGTTTTTTTTTTTCTTTTTTTGGTGAGGGGGACAAAAAAAACATTACTAATTAAAAGCCTTTTAGCATATACAATAAAGCCAATGGTTGTCAAAGCATTTTGTATTTGTCTCATACATTTTTCAATCCAATTTGTGGTACAGTGACCCTGAAAAGTTGATAAAGGACAAATATTACCCCCTTTTACAGATGAAAAAATTGAATTTCTGAGAGGCTAACTATAAAGGACCATAGAGCAAGCAGCAGAGCTGGACCCAAATTTTAGTCATATGGCTTCTGGGCTATATTACCATGCCCACCTGATCACAACAAACCAAGTTTATACTATGATGCTATAGAAGAAGTAAGTCAAGCTTTTCCATTAATTGACCATTTTTGACAAAGGTCAAATCCAGAGCCCAATTCTAGATGAAATTAAAGCTCAATATTCTCATAAATTATACAGAATTTTATAACCTACACAGCCTTCTTGAGAAGGACAGTCTGAGTTCAGCTGTACTACGAAAAACTGTAAACTTTTTCTGGAAAAAAAAAAAAAAATTAGACTGCAATTTGTAATAAACCAGGAACTTGGGCTTGGATTTTACCTCCAATTTAAAATTAGAAAAAAAACTTCTAAACAAAATTTTTTTAATATAGAGATGTGTTTCCCAGGAAAAGGGAGAGTTACACACACACAAAATAACCCTAGGAAGAAAATGTTCTGGAATTATGTTAAGTGAAATAAACTAGGAACAGAAAGAGAAATACTGCATGTCCTCAACTCATGAGTGGGAGCTAAAAAAAATAAGCAGATAAACTAAAGAAACAAACAGCAATCAAAATAATACACTGAACTTTCAACAGGAGAGAACAGAACTGAGGTTACCAGAGGTGGGAAGCGGGGAGGAACAGTTAATGAGAAATTGGTAAAGAGCTACAAAAAAATGATTAAATTGTGTAATGCTGAATATACTAATTATCCTGATTTTAGCATAACATGTTGCATATTCAATGTGGTACCCCACAGATATGTAAAATTGATCATATTTCAATTAAAAAACAAAGGAAATAAAACATTACAAAACCCCTTGCAAGAAAAAAAAAAATGCTCTGGGATTCATCCCAGGAATATAAGGATGGTTTAACATATGCAAATCAATAAATGTGATATACCACATTAACAGAAAGACAAAAAACCATATGATCATTTCAACTGACAAAAAATTTGACAAAACTGAACAATCCTTCATGATAAAAACTCTTAAAAAACTACATATTGGAGGTATGTACCCTCAATACAATAAAAGCCATATGTGAAAAACCCACAGCTAACATGATACTGAATGGTGGAAGCTGAAAGCTTTCTTTCTTAGATCAGGAAAAAGACAAAAATGCACACTTTCACCACTTCTATCCAACATAACGCCGGAAGTTCAAGCCAGGGCAATTAGATAAGAGAAAGAAAGAAAGGACATCAAATTGGAAAGGAGGAAGTCAAACTGTCCCTATCTGCAAACGACATAATCTTATAAAACTAATAAGAGAATTCAAGAAAGTTGCAGGATACAAAATCAACATGCAAAAAGTCAATAGCACTTCTATACACTAATAGTGAACTATCTGAAAAAGAAATCAAGAAAACAATTCCTTTTACAATAACCACAAAAAATTAGATAAGCAGGAATAAACTTAACCAAGGAGATAAAAGAGAGCTACACTGAAAACTATAAAACTTTGAAGAAAGAAATTGAGGAGGACATAAACAAATGGGAAGATATCCCACGTTCGTGGATTGGAAGAATCAACATCATGAAAATATCCATATTACCCAAAGCAATTTAGGCATTCAACACAATCCCTATCAAAATACCAATAATCTTAGTATTTGTATGGAACCACAGAAGACTTCATATAGTGAAAGCAATTACGAACAAAAAGAACAAAGTTGGAGGCATCACACACTTCCTGAGTTCAAAATTTGCTACAAAGCTATAGTAGCCAAAACCACATGGTACTGGCATAAAAACTGACACACAGACCCATAAAACAGAATAGAGAGCCCAGAAATAAATTCACACATCTACAGCTAACTGATCTTTGACAAAGGTGCCAAGAATACATATCAGGGAAAAGCCAATCTCTTAGTAAATGGTGCTGGGAAAATTGGACGCAGAGAATGACATTAGACCCCTACCACTCACCATATATAAAAATAAACTCTAAATGAATTAAAGATTTAAATGTAAAACCCAAAACTATGAAACCACTATAAGAAAACAGGGAAAATGATTCACAACATGGGGCTGGGCAAGAATATTTTTAAATAATACTTCAAAAGCACAAGCAATAAAAGCAAAAATAGACAAATAGGATTACATTAAACAAAAAAGTTTTTGCACATCAAAGGAAACTGTTAACGGAAGAGACAACTTACAGAATGGGAGAAAATATCTGAAAACTATACATCTGACAGGGGTTAATATTAGGAACAAAAACAATCCAACTAAGAAATGGGTAAAGGATCTTAACAGACATTTCGCAAAAGAAGACATACAAATGGCCAAAGGCATATGAAAAAAATGCTTAACATTACCAATCATCAGGGAAACACAAATCAAAACATCAAGATACCACTTCACTCTGGTTAGAATGATATTATCAAGAAGACAAAAGAAAACAAATGCTGGCAAAGATGTGAAGAAAAGGGAACACTTGCATACTGTTAGGGGGAGTGTAAACTAGTACAGCCATATGGAAAAAAACATGAAGGTTCCTCAAAAAATTAAAAATAGAACTACCATATAATCTAGCAATCCCACTACTGGGTATATACACAAAGGAAATGAAGTCGGTACATCGCAGAGATATCTGCTCTCCCATGGTTATTGAAGCACAATTTACAATAGTCAAGATATGGAATCAACCATAAGTGTCCAACAATGGATGAATGGGTTAAAAAAAATGTGGCATATATACACAATGAAATACTTATTCAGCCATAAAAAAATGAAATCCTGTCATTTGTGGCAACATGGATGCACTTGGAAGTTGTTAAGTGAAGTAAGCCAGGCATAAAAAGACAAATACCACATGATCTCACTCAGATGTGGAATCTAAAAAAAATTCAAATGCTGATATTACGGAGACAGAGAAGGGGAGGAAGGAAGGGAAAAAAGCAAGAGGTTGGCCAACGGGTACAAAATTAAAATTATATAGGGGGAATAAATCCTGGTGTTCTATTGCACAGCAGGGTGACTATGGTTAACAGTTAAGTTGTGTATATTACATAATAGCTAGATTAGGTTCAGATGCCCATACTGGCCAGCCAGCCCCCCAAAAAAATAGCTAGAGGAGAGACTTTTGAATGTTTTCACCATAGACATGATAAATGCATAAGGTGACAGTTACATTAACTACCCTGACCTGATCATTATACAGTATACATATGTATCAAAACATCAGTTTGTACCTCATAAGCATATACAATTACAGTGTGTCAATTAAAATTTTTTAAGAAGAAAATGTTCTCTTTATTCAAAAATAATTTAAATATATGTTGTGTTTAGTTTTAACACAATACTACATAAAATGGTTTTCAATTACTATTTAGTTATATACTCACCCAAGTGTCCCTTTCCCTGACATTGGGGGACTGGGGGGTTTCTGAGTTGGAGGTGTTGTACGTGGCAGCCCACCCATCTTCATATTCTGGGTACTCACCTAAAAAATTTTGAGGAAAACTCAACTCAACTCGTATGCAGTGAAATGAAGTACCACTTGGGGGAAATAATGCTATGCTATTTAACAAAGGAGGGGAAGGTTTAAATACAGGGGAAAAAAATCAGAGGCCATGCATTTCATATGCAATTTCTACTCTATTATTATTCTACAGTTGTACTCAAAGGACTCTTCCTAACATGAGATCTTCAAATGGTTATAAACTTATGTGCAAAGACTATATTTGCCATTAGGTCATCACACCAACAGATCACTGGTTAGACTATTTGATATTACGTTCCATTGAAATTAAATAGGATAACCACAAAAATTTTAGTTTTAATAAAGAATAACTCAATCAGAAACAATAATGCCTTTAAGCAATTCTTTACTTTTTAGAGAGCTTCCTTTGATAGCAAGTGTATCATAAACAAAATACATTTCCCAAATAAAAATATGCAACTTTATGCATATGATCCATTGTAACTCTAAAATTAAAATAAATTATGATATATAAAAAAATGTTTAGTTTTTTAAACTGTGGACCAGCCTTACAATTCAGATTTCTTTAATGTTCTCTTATGAGGGAATCACCTACCTGAAAACTGCTAGAAGTTCAAGGCATGTTCCTAAAACATCTGAACCAGAAACTTAGGGCTGAGGTATCCCCATTCATCTGTAAGCAGCACAAGTGCCATTTGCAAGGTCCTAGTTCCAATGGGAATTAGACCCACTCAGGCCCAAACTGAATGTTACTTCGGGCATGAGAAAGATGTGACATAGTCCTAAGTCAGAGCTGGACCATGACTCCACTCACTGTTCTATCCCCAACTGAAAATGCAAGTGTAGGAAAGATGGGTAATCTAGGAATAATAGATGTCACCAGAGCAGTACATCAGCACTTACACCAAAAGCCCTAGAACTCTGGATATCTTAAGGAGCTCAGAGAAGTCATTCACAAATACAGTTCAAATGCAATCTCAAATTGTTTGAGGCTACCAGTGGGTTAGTTAATGTTCACCATACAGATTCATAACTGACCCTATTATAAGTCCCTAATATTTTGGATTGCCATCTTCAAAACACTTCAAAAAAGAATCTCAACTTTCCTAATAAAAACATCTACATTATTCAAATTATACTTGTAAAATACAATGTAAGACATTATATACCACTGAAATCAGAATACATTTATAGTGTAATTTCAAAATATAAATTTTAAGAAAAGAAATCATAATTGTATACCGAGTATTGAGGCTGTCAAAATTAATTCTGGCTTAGTTGGAATTTTTAAAAATCCTAAAACACTTACTTTTTATCTGAATAGGCAAGAAATAATATATCAAGAAACAAATTCTTCAAATGAATAGCCCAGTGAACAAGTTGCGTGTGATGTTAAAACAATCGTTAATGACAAATGATACCTTTGAAATGTCAAAATTTTTTTTTTTTACAAATCTTGATTATTCATTTACTTTTTTACAAAATTGGCAATATAGTTTTTAAAAGATGCAAAAAAATTTGTTGCATTTAGATAAGTATCTTAAAATGTAAGGTAAGACTGCAAAGCAGTGTGACAGGTTTTCTTCTGTACCTTGTAAGCTGAATTGGAAGGCAATTCCCAGAATTCTAGAAATTGTGGAGACATTTTCATTTTAGAAATGTCAAAATTTTTAAAGTGAAGCATTTATCTGTAATCCTTTTGTTGTTGCTTTTAAACAATAAATGCAAAACAAACCAATTATCAAGTAAGAATAAAAATTAACTTATCCTTGCTCTCCCCCATCAATAATAAGCAGAGGGTATACTAATTATATCTTGAAATGAAAATGCCAGAAGTTTTTTTTAAAAAATCAATCCACATTTGGGGAAAATTATAGGAGTAACATGACAAATAACCAATAGTTCTGAAAACTGTAAATCTTAATTTATGATACTAAAAGACTTTAAAAGTGGTAACCCAAAGTCCTTTAAGCTCAACCTTAAACAACATAAAACCCAAAGTTACTTTAAGTGACGAGGAAGAAGTGAACCAAACACTAAACTATGTCAATTTGCTAGAAACAGGAAGTAAAAGAAGCAGGAATAGAAAAAAGAGTAAAAGAGAATTTTATTCTATACATGGGATAGCTAAAATACTTCAAAACAGCTTTACAATTCTGATTTGTTTTAGGTTTTAATACGTAAAGAATTTTTGTTTAAATTGCAGTATCTTAAATAGGTCTTTGAACTTACTCCAAAAATAATATAAAATAAAGAATCTATAAAATCTGGTGGACATTAAATAAAACTCAATACATTTCATGATCTGTAATCATCAAATTATTGTTTTTGCTTGGTTAATGGGGCTGGATGAGTAACAAATCACTTAAGAAACCAAAATCCCTGTATATCCAAACCATCTAATTTTACACTTCACTGATACTATTAAGCTATTAAGCTGAAAGTTTTTCAGTATTTCCTCAAAGCAGTTTTCCTTTGTGAAAAATGTTTCGTGCTAAGTAAACCAATGAATATGCTATGCAGAATATAAATACTGCCATCTACCTAGAGGAAAAGGATAAACAGCAATAAATGCCAAACAAAATTTATTTATAATAGGTAGAATCTGTATTATAATTAAAGTTAAGAAACTGTATTTCAATCCTAAAATGATTTGGTAAAATATATATATATATTTACTGGATAGCTATCATGCTCCTACAATCTATTCTGAGGGAAGTTTTTAATAGAAAACAACATTTCCTGACAAGTAATAAAACACACGACTAAACTGTATGTGGTAGTGGTGGGAAACTTGTGTACACACACACACACCATAAACTCAGTACAAACCAACACTGCAGCCTCTTCATAACAGTAATTCCACATGAAATATTTTTTTAAACTACAAACATGTAGTTAATGATCCTAAATTTTGAGTGGGAGTGCTTATCACACTTTTCAAAGAATTAGTTGGGAACTGGAATAAAACTATGGTGGCTGAATGCAACAATAATTTCTTTATGTGGGTATATGTTTATTACATAAAGCAGAAAGTCATCAAGAGCTAAGTGAAGTAGGTATTAGGTACAAGGAGGAACAGTAAGGAAAAGTCCCCTTTTTCCCCCTACTGGAGAGAAACCTCCAAAAAAACAAAAGTAGAAGAAATAATTCATTTAGGTGATGAGGGTTATAATGCATGCCACAAATACTTTCCCACTGGCCTATGATGAATGTAGATAATACTAGAGGTAGGAACAGTTCTTTTATGACCAAAGAGTGGTCTAGTCTTCCAGGCTTCAAAGACCCCTACAACCAGCAGCACCACCCATCAGGTCACTTATGCCTTAATATTTTTCTCTACAGTGCTCTTACCTTTCCTGCTCTATCCTTCTTGGTAAATTCAATACCTCCTTGAATCTTGATATATAATGTTCATTACAAATCTCGGCATTTTCCAGCACCCTCTGAGCTTCAGTATTATTTCTAAATAATATCTCTAGTTCATAGAAGACATCATCTCCGCTACAAATCTCTCACTGACAGATGATCTGCTGCAATAAAACAGTGGCAGACACATTCTAAAATGGTATGTGTGGTATACCCTTCATTTATCGACCACATACCAGATTACTAGGTACAAGAGTAAAGCCACATGATAAAAGAAGGGAGTCTTGGAGACACAATGGTCTATAAAAGAATTTTTCTGCTTCTAAGGTATTTTGAAATAAATAAGAGTCACATGATTAAAACAAAAAGGAATGTCTACAAATTCTATAGAAAGCACAAAAAAAGAATTATCAATATAGGAAGAAATTGTTAGGCGAGGTTTCATAGGGAAAAACCTGACCTGTACTGTTAAGTTCAAAAAGAACAGCATTTAAATAGAGAGAGAGAAGAGAAGTGTGTGTAGGATGTATCTGTGTGTGGAATAGTGAATACGGGAAGAAGCTGTGGTCAAGCACGTATGGGCCTTCATTCTCTGACCAATATTATTCCCCATTATAGTCTTATTCAGGACATCATTCTTTGGCTTTCCAGAGACCTCTATCGCTCTCCTCAGAGAATATAGGAGGGGTCTTCAAAAAGTTCATGGAAAGATTTGAGTTATCTTTTAATTCAATTTTTCCAAGAATTTTTTGAAAGTATCCTCATATATCTCTTTTCAGTTCCTAAGGGCTACTGGTAAAAGGAACAAGAGATCCCCTTAGGGACATCAAAGTTGAAACCAGGAATTAAGAGTATGAATTCAGGACAGAGATAAAATTTTTAGTATGAGAGTTGAAAAGACAAAAAGCCTAAGAAGCCAAGAGTCCTAAAATAATCCAGTACAGAGATGAGGGAATAAGAGATTAGGAGAAAGACAGGAGAGAAACAGGCAAAGAAAGTAGTAGAAGAAAACAAGAGTGTAATAGACAAATTTCTGCTTGATTCTGTAAAGTTTCTAAACTTCTGCTTGATTTTGTAAAGTTTCTAACAACTGGATTTTGCCGAAACAGAATTGATGGCTCAAGATTGGAACTGACGGGCAAAAACATATGAGTTTCCCACGGGTTGCTGTCATTACAGAGTTTTTCTTCCAAGTGTTGTGTCAAGTAAATTTTTAAGAGTAAACCCTCAGCTGTACGTGAAAGCTAGAAACAAGAGGGAAATTTTATCATTTCTGCAGGGAATGACAAACACTAAATACTCAAGTGAAAATGTTAGCCCTATTTTTTTAATATGGGATTAAATTATGGATCTTCAAGATCCTAGGCAAAATTTTCAAAAGTATTATATTCTTAACTTGTTAGTTGTAAAATAATCCCTTAACCCCTGCTTATTAATTATACAAAATCTGCTTGGGGAATCTTCAACTGAAATAAATATTACATTAACAAATCAGAAGTCTTTACTATTTTTGATTAAACTAATATGTGTATTTTAAAAACTACTTAGAGTAGAATTGTGGCCACTAGAGGCTGGGAAGGGGCAGAAGGGACAGGAAGAGGTTGGTTAATGGATACGAAACTACAGCTAGATAGGAAAAATAAGTTCTAGTGGTCTACAGCAGTGCCAGACATCTATAATTATCAATAATTTATTGTAGTTCTCAAATGCTAGAGAGCTCAAATGTTCTCATCGCAAAGAAATGATAAATTTTGGGCCGGGCCAGTGGCGCACTCGGTAGAGTGCGGTGCTGAGGATTCGGATCCCATATAGAGACTGGTCCGCTCACTGGTTGAGCGCGGTGCGGGCGTGACACCGAGGGTTGCGATCCCGTTACCGGTCACGAAAAAAGACAAAAAGGGGGGAAAAAAAAGAAATGATAAATTTTTATGATGATGGTATGCTAACTACGCCAATTTGACCATACACACTGTATATATGGAAATATAACTCTGAACTCCATAAATACGTACAATCAATGTTTCAACTAAAAAATAAATTTCTTTTAATAAATAAAAAGAAAAAGTACTTAAGTAAGCATCATTGGTGACAACTTTACTGTTTTCAACAAAAAAATACATCACAAATATATCATATTGGCTTGAATAACAGAGTTTTAAGACTCTTTTTAGTACTAAAATAGAGTGTGGAAATGGAACCAAAGTCACAGGTACATTCCACTTTTATATGGCCTCAGGCACATATTAAAACACTTCCAATATGGCATTCTGTCCACTGGCCTTTTATGCCCTTTGTTATAAAAATATCACCAAATTGTTTTCAAAAGTCTTAAGAATTAAACTCTACAACTTGACCGAAGTTTAAACCAGTTAATACAAATTTCGGATGAAGAGAACAATTAAGCATCACCAGAAAATGCTGTATAATATACCAGAAATTCAACTTTTAAGCAAGTAGGTCTGAGTCAAATCTCATGTGTCTGGTCCCAGAGTATGATGGGTTTGTTTAGAGACTGTCTGAAAAGCATCAAAAGTCTGACAGCAATGGGAGCAAAGACAGAGATTAAAAAGAGCTAAAAAAAAAAAAAAAAAAAAAAAAAAAAAGAGAGAGAGAGAGAGATAAAGGTAGAAGTGAAAGGAAAAAGGGCTAGAACTTAAATATGCTTTAAATCTAAAGCACATATTAAAGGCTCTGTTTAAACAGCTATACTGACTAAAATGAGGATAAGGAACCCACACTCATATTGATCTGGAGACTTCCAAGGCACTTGATAGAATCCACAGGTTTCCAAAAAGCTCAGTTGGAAAACCACTGGACTAGTTTACATTTGTAGTCCCTTCTTACCTTAACATATTCAATTATTCGATTAATCACCCTTCTAAAACCACTAATTTTATATTTCTCACCAGCATAAAAAGAGTAATGATTTGCTATATACTGAATTTTTTTTTCACTCTGATTTTTTTCATACTTGGGTTCACCCAAAATTATTAACTATGTGCCACAGGTTTAGAGAGAAGATAGAGATATTCACAAAAGGGAACAAGAAGGAAAGACAGAGCACTGGCACATTCTAGTTGCTAGATAAACTCAGGATACTCTCCTTACCCTGCTAATTCCACCCCTACAGAGTAGAAACACTTACACAGAGCCATAGTTCTCAGGAATGGAGCTTTATAAAGCAAAGAGCAGGGCCGGCCCGTGGCTCACTCGGGAGAGTGCGGTGCTGATAAAGCAAAGAGCAAATGTATCAAGGGATCTTATATAAGTGTGATTTCCTGTTACATCTTTCTAGAAGCCTTTCAGTTTGCCCTATCTCCCCAAAAATTAACACATCAAAAGCCAAAATTTAAATACAGACTTTAGAGGAAAAAGGCCAAGGCAGCCACACAGCCTGCTTTTGGCCTAGCTCACTGCAGCCCACCTATTTCAAGCAAAAAGAATCCCCTCACAATTCCACATGCCTTAATCACCAATACTTAAGAGTTTGGAGCCAACACTCCAACCAATAACACAAGGAATGTATTTGCGTAGGCTCCTCTGATCAGATCTACAACAAGCAGGTGAAATTTCTGGGGCCATGGAAAGTACTAACTAGTTAATGATTCAGAATTCAGTCATTTTGTCTTCTTGTTATCACTTTCCACACTGAAGACACGGTGAACAATGGGCTATTAGAGTAAAAGAATATATATATTTGAAAAGAAATTATAAAATGTGGCTAAGCAAAAAAGAACAAAGAGGAAATGAATGCTAAGTTTTATGAAAGTAATTTTAGTATTTTATTTGACAGGCTTCTTGAGTATAGTTGAATTATATTAAAATGTTACTGAAACAAATCACAAGAAATATTATCTCTAATTCTTAACTTGTATTTTGTTAAACACTATATAAGCTTTTGATGTTTTGCATATAATATTCATCTTAAAGATGAGTTTTAAAAAACTCTTAAAGTGAGTTTACACTGAAATATATCTTTTATACAGCTATTTGTTTTGCAAACTGCATGTTTTGCAACTGCAGACTAATTGTTTTGCAAAATGCATGATACTGCAACTTAAAAAAAAACCCGTACCACTGAACATTTTCTGTCTCAATTTCTTCACATTAAGAGTTCAAAAGATAACATATTGTTTTCGGGGTGTATAATAAAGCACACCATTTATAGAATAAAAAGTCTATTACACAGGGGGAAGGTTAAATAAAGCACATTAGTTGGCCCTCTAATCCATTATAAAATTTCTATATTTACAAAAATCCAGTTAATTTTATTCCATAACAACCTTTTATGATAAGGTAAACAGTTACATTCATTTTCACAAAATATATTAATACTGCAAAGTAACCATTCATTCAACAAATATTTACTAAGCACCTAATGGGTGTCAGGCACCTTCTAGGCACAAAGGATAGAACAGTGAACAAAAGAGACAAAAAAAATCTGCCCTTAAGGAACATGGAGACACACCACAAAGTTGCAGGACAAAAAAATAAAATAAAGGAGAAATTATTGGTTTTAAAAGGCCAAGTGCCAAATATCTCCTTACTCCCCATATGTAATACTCTACATAAGAACAAAGAATGGAAATCCAGCCCTGGAATCTCTTACCTTAAATCTAAGCAACCACTTAATGCATAAATGGAGCAAATAAAAGAGGTAAGGAAAAAAAGCATTGAAAGGTTAGTTGGAATTTCAAGATGTGAAGAGAAAGGAAAAAAACAAAGAAAAAACAAGTTAAGCATTCAGCATTAACAAAATAATGTTTCAGTAGATTATAGAAAGAGTGGTTAAAGCAGGATGTGTCATGAACAGGAGTTCCTTTGATGAAATTATTTTAAGACATTGTTCTATTCAAAAATTCAACTTTGTGACCCTTAAAACACTAACAGTCCAAACAATGAAGGGACTACAGAGTCCGAAAAGAATAACTTTTTACTTTGAGAATTAAATAACAATTAGGGGGAAATCATCTTTTTATTATATAAGTGTGCAAGCACAAATGTGACGTTTTATATTCTAAGCGTCTTTTTGGCATTAGATTCTGTAAGTACCCTAAAATATTCTATTAACAGTTGTTTGTCTTGAATACATTTTACCAAGTTAGAATAAATTTGTTATTAATCAACCATCCAATTACACATCCTATTTTTAAACGTTCTAATTAGTAAACTAAATGCATGTAGGTATCAATTACAAAATTAAATATCAAATTCCAGATAACAACAGTACTTATATCAAAACTTTTACGAAGAGATTTTAAAAATAAATTTACATTATATATTTTCTTTTTACCTAGATCTACATTAAACTTAGATTTAACTGATTTCCAGCCATAATACTGTGGATGCATTTTTTATTTAAATATGCTTACATCTGAGAAAAAAAAAAGTCAACCGCATGAACTATACAGTTTCATTATAGGCATATATGTACAGTATATTTATTTGAAGTCACATTCCATAAGTCATTGTCTCTCAAATTACTGATCAGATGCAATTTTTAAATAATATTTAGCTGAAGCTCTAGTACCAACACTAACTTAAATAAAATTTACATTCCTCAGTTTTAATTATGGTACTTTATATACACACTAAGCACTCAAATACATTTTAAAAGATAGCCAAAATGTATAATGGCTACACACTCAAAAGCAGTGGAAATATTAATTCACATACTACTTTTATCTATACTATTCTCACCTAAAATGTTGAAATAAAATTATTTTAGAAAAATTCAAAGTACATGTTTATTAACTGTTGTTGTTTCTGAAAACTATTGCCAAAAGACTGCTGATAAATTTTTGAGATAAGGTAAACACTTTAATAACATGCTGAATAATTTTTTAATCAGTCATATTAAATCACCATAAAGATTAGAAAGATTATGCCACACTTATTTACTCGATCTATATGAGGCATTATCATAATTGATTAAACAAATGCAATTCATTCAAAGATGACTGCTTAACTTGAGAATACACAACTAAGAAAAATCAAGAGGGATAAAAGTTATAGTAGCAAAGAATCTTCACAACCACAACTGGGGCAAGACTTGGTCTTCTAGTAAAGGAAAGATAAAAGCTTAATTTTTCAAAGAGTTAGTTCCATTATGGGCTACTGTTTTAAAACGCTTGACAAAAATTATACTTACCTTTACTCCATGTCCAATATCATCTAGAATTGTATAGTCAATAGGTTTTCTAATATAACGAACTGGTCGTTCAAGGTTGGCTGGAGCAATAATCTTATGTGTCCTTGAAGTGTTTTTATTGGTAGTCAAAATACCAATTTCTCTTCTTGCAACTTTCTCTTTATGAATATCAACTGTCTGCAAAATATAATATATAAAAAAACAAAAGCATATAGCTCTGACATCCAGAAAAATCAAAATATAAATGCCCAGAGATTTAATATTGCTATTCATATTCTCAACTATGCTTGCTAAAAATTTTCTCCTTTCTGCACTACTGACTTTCTCCATTTTTAGGCTAATGCAAAGGTTGGCAAACCATGGCCCACAGGCCAAATCTGGCCCATCACCTGATTTTTACAGTCTACAAACTAAGAGTGGTGTTTACTTTTTTTTTTTTTTTTTTTTTTTTTTTTTTTTTT